GGGGACAAACAGGGCGTAATGGGAAATAAATTTTCAATCAGGCCAAATTTCCGAAAAAAAAAGTTCTAAATAAATGTTTTTTGTCTCCTTAGGCCTGTCGTGAGGGAGATGTCGCTAGTCTGAACTTTTTATTAGAGAACAACGCGACAGATGTGGACAAACTGAGCGATTGCGGGCTGGCACCACTTCATTACGCTGCACGTAACAATCACGGAGAAGTTATACAGCTGCTTATCGACCATGGTGCAGGTCAGTAGATCAGCGTTCAGTTCAATACAGTTACCCAACTCAGTGCCAAAAGACTTCAAAGTGTAACCTCTTCCCATAATGTCAATGCATTAGGCAGAACACATGTAATGAGAATCGACAAACTTATCAACCGGGAAGGGGTACTTTGATTAAAAGCAAAATTCTTCTAGTGCCAATCACATAGCCGGAAATCCATAGAAACTGGAAGAGAAATACTACTCAGATCTAGGTTCGGTATTTAACTTGTGAACCCAGTTATTCGGACAATTTACAGGATTTTAAAAAAAGTTTCAAATGCAAATTAAACATCTTTGCCTTCGGTCCAGATTCGTGTTATTAGTCGACTATTGTGAGTGCTATATGACATCTGAATATTACACTTTCCAAAACAAACTCCTTGTGGCAAATATAACCTGGTGATAAGAGCTAGTCTTACTTAGAAAAATATCTTATTCAAATAATCGAACAAATATTGATGACCGGGTCGTTCGTTACCTCATTTCTTCGTCTCAAGACGTCTCCTAGCTATGGTTAAGCAGATAGACTACGAGCAGTCCCTTCTTTTAGGCAAAGTCCGCCGCGCGAATTCAAAAAAAAAAACGGCGAAAACAAAACTTGATGTTAGCGCACCGCGTGGAGCTCTGGGAGTGATGCACATCATTCACACTCAAAGCCCTCCGCTGCACGCTGACATCAAAATTATTTTTCGCTGATTTTTTTTTCTTTTTTTCGGACTCGTGCAGAAAAGGAGAGAGGTTGTCTATACAGGAGACAGAACACAGAGAGAGTCTTCCTAATCCTATACTTCCTTCTTTCTCAAACAGACCCTAATGTGACAGCCACCACTGAAAACAAATCGCTCTCACCATTGCACTTTGCGAGCTGGTATGACACAGATGAAGCAGTAAATACTCTCATTGATAACAAATCCAATGTGGAGTGCAGCGCTGTATTTGGACAAAAGCCTCTTCACTTTGCTGTCACACGTGCTAGTCTAGAACTTGTTAAGGTCAGCACTGTTCCTTAATAAACTTATAATTTTAAGCATTTCCAAGAGGATTTTTTATGTGTAGGACTCGAGTGTCAAAAATCAGACGTGTGTTCTCTGATTTTGGACACCTGCATTAGTTTTCAGACGGTACCTTCCATTTCGGACACTTGACTCCGTTTCAAGACACCACCGCTTCTGCTTTCAGTCGATACCGTCCGTTTTCGGGGACCAACATTTGATTTTGGACACAACCGTCCGATTTCGGACGTTAGCGTCCTTTATCGGGTGGTATCATACAAGTTTGGACACGTGGGTCCGTTTAAGGAAAGTACCGTCGGATCCAATACAGTTGCGTCTGTTTTCGGTAGGTAGCATCTGATTTAAGACATAAGCGTCCGTTTCCAGACAGCACCATCCGATTGCAGACACTTGAGTCCATTTTCAGGATGGCATCGTAAGATTACTAACACTTAAGCGGTTTTCGGACATGTATAATGTTCAATTTCTGAATTTTTATTTCCGCATTTTCGCCGCATCCTTTTTCATTGTCAGCCTTTTTGAACAACATGAGTAAGTTGTAGTAGTAGTCTCTGAACCGTTTTTTTTTCCCAGACATTGTTAACCAAAGGAAAAGCAAATCCAAACTCATATGATAACCAACATTTTACAGCACTGCATCTGGCTGCGCAAAGAGGACGACTGGACATCATCAAAATGCTCGTAAGTCAAAGAGCGCTTTCAGGTGCGGTTCTCTTCACGGACTAGCCTACATTTATCTAGTATGATCCTGTCTTTACAAGATGACATTTTTTGGTAAATTGACTATTTTTTTCTTTTCCCTCTGTTATTTATGTGATAATTTTTCCTTTTGGAAGCTAACATACGGAGCTAATCTTCGAGGCCAGAATGACGAAGGTGATACGGCGGTACACATTGCAGCGAGAGAGGGACGAGATGAGGCCTTGAAGCATCTTCTACAAAGAGGTGCTACGAAACTTTTAATTCCCTTCTTCTGCATTCCGATGACAACACTTGCTCCGTTGTATGAAAACCTTGAGAGAACTTTAAGACAAAAAGTAGGAGAGCGACCGTTCAGAATTAAAAAATAGGGGAATGGGATGATGAAAGTTTCCGTTTGAAATCACACGAAGCTTACGACATCGTTGATCCCACCAATATGCAGCAAGTATGTCACATATGATCCAAGAAATATTCCTAGTCATCATTTTAATAGGTTTGTCTGTAATTCAGACGTAGTTCTATAGAGTGTGGGAGCGCAGAGTCCAAGGGTCTGGGTATGGATTCTTTATGGGGACTCAGTATTTTTTATCTACACCACGTTCGTGGCAAGACGAAAAGAAAGGATTTTTCTTTTAGGGAAAAACTTCGTGGTCACAAGTCGTTCCAAAGGCTTACCACGGTCTGTTATCAGGTTTTCTTGAAGAACAATTCGAACATGTTCGTAGATCCTGTTGTTTTCAGGCCAGAAACTTAAATCGACTCGTAATTCACTTGTCACAGTTCACGAACAAACACAGCTGATTTTTAAGTTACTGAACAACTTTATGTTTTTTTCAGCGTCATTGGACGGTATATCGTGCAAGGATCTCTTAAACAGTGAGAATTGTGAGTCAAAGAGCTGTTTACATTTAGCAGTGGATGGTGGACATGTGAAGGTAAATAGGAAATGTTATTGATGTCTTTGATGTTGTTGTTTTTGTTGCCATAGTCGTCTTTTCCGTTAATGCTGGGCTATTTTCATGCGCTTGGTATTCCTGTTTTTCCTGATCTTACTTTTATCCTAGTTGTAATATATGTAATGTTCTTGTTGTCTGTTACAACACTTTTGCTTGTTTATCGTTGTCCTTATTGTTATTGTCGTCGTCATTGGTGACTCTTAAGATTGATGGCAAGCTTGAAGTAAAATAACTCTCTAATTTTTTATAGTGACCTCTCGGTGGTGGAAGCCACTATATCATGAATCTTGGCGGTTGAAGTAGAATACATCGTAAATAATCGTATATAAAACAGATTTAATATAACAGATGTATTTCTTGTACGATTGCACACCGTTTAGGCAGCCATCGTTTGCATCGAATATGGCGCAGATCCCCATCCTGTGGTAAGCAGATAAATCAGTTTTACTTCAGTTTACAAACAAGCCAGCAATATTTACACGAAAAGACATGAAATCCGGTATCACTGGTAATCAGCAATCGAAATATGTGGGAAAAAAACAAAAAATTAAAAACCATTACAGGCAAACAACCAAAACAAAGAGTGCGAATTCGTTTTATCGGGTGTCGACTAAGATTGCATTGTTGAATTTGATTTTCTTAGGCTAAAAGAAACCTTCCACTCCATGTGGCGAGCTCTACTGGTAATTTACCTATGGTAAAATTTTTACTATCGCAAGATTCAATTCACGTTGACGAGGAGGACTGTGAAGGAATGACACCAATACTCAGGTACTTAAAGAGAGACCTTTCTGTATTAAATAAGACGAGAGAGAGAAAACGACATGTTCTTCTGGTGTTTTGAGTGGTGAGTAGTTGTGACACTGAATCGTGCCTAATCTTAAGGCCGACGTGTTCGGTCGTTGAGCTGTGCGCGTATAAAAATGAGCTGATTTGATTTGAAGGTGCCGGTATCGAAAACCGACACCATGTTGTTACGTTACTCCCGGCTTTGCATGATGCTGTTACGATACTCCTTTACAAATGTACGTTTTGCCCAATACTGATCCTTGATCTGTTAAGTGATATAATCAATAAATAGCTGTTTCTTGTGAACTGATCCTCATCAGGCATGGCGTTCCAAGATCTTTTAAAGCTAACCAATTTTCCTCCTTCATCTTTAATTATGTTATTATATCCTGCATGATGCTTCTTGATGGTTCTTAATATAGACTCCCGCGGCGTATCCAATTCCTTACATACTCGCAGTCTGAAAAATAATGAGAAATTTTAAAGAGTTATGTATTGTTTTCTATTTTGTAAGTTATAATTTATTAACACCTCTATTCAGGTGCACACAATCTTCACAACTAACTTATGAATAATTAGCATTGCGTTTGAATGCGGAGCGCTTCTAGCTCTTTCTTGCTGTTATTATTACATCGACGAAGACGGTTATCGGCGTTGTTGATCTTGTTCTGTGAAGAATCCTTTCAAACTTATCCAAAACACCAAAAAGTTTCAGAATGGTATTTTATCAGAGCCGCGGGCAGGATAAAAGATTTATTCTCAGGAGGAAAACCATCTTCAGGTTCATTATATTGCTCTGCGTTCTTGGAGGGTGGTACACCATCAGACTAAGCTACACCGTGTGTAAAAATTCTGCTGAAAAATACGATTCAGAAATAAGTCGTCCTGAGGACTGGTTTGATGGAAATATTACAAGGTTTCAAAACAAAGCCAATCTCTACAATTATGTGGTTCTACGGAAAACCACAATTGATGCATATGGAGATTTTTCCTGCTCCAGTTCAGAGAAACGCCGAATGTGCTCGTTCAAAGTGGAAACGCTTATTCAGGCGGTACAGATGTGCAATGTATACGGTGATGTTTGTGTGGGATTTGTACTCACAAGGGACATGAACATACGACTGAAACATCAAGTCAAACGATTGAATTTCGATAGCCAGGCGGTAACGTTGGTGAAGAGCGCCTTCGTACCTCGTTTTGGGCAAACTCAACTGCCCAAACTGTTTACATCTACGAACTTCTCAAGGCCTGAGAATTAGATCTAGATTTAACTCTCCATATCTCATGTACCCAATTCAGCTGCCATCTGTTTACTTCTCCGTGGCAATTACAGAAGAATTACTCTTTGAGAAGCTACAACATTACTGTAAAGCGTTGGCGGGAGGATTTATAGTCTTTGTTGTCCTCATACTAATGATGGATAACGGAGCGGGATGTGCTTGACAAGATGATAATTGAATAACATATCTCTGACCTCTGTCCACGCACTACGCAAGGCCAGAAGTCTGTAAAGGGAAATGTCCTGTATTCTTCCCTAAAAAGCCGCGGATCTTGTCAGGAAACGCCGGAGCAATACTCTTAAATAAAAGTTTCATACGACAACCTTCTGCCAATATAATGAAACTGTGTGTTAACAATTCCTCTCCAGTCCGCAGAAAATTAAAAGGATTAAACATAATAAAGAGATCTTTAAGAAATGCTTTGTAGATCTTGCTACAAATCTCTTGCCAGTTATATAAATTAGGATACACCATCATAACAAACTCCTGTTCGTTTAATAAAATTGTTAATACTGAAGTCAGTTATTTAGTTATATCGTTAACTAAGGTAGTATTTTCGTCGTTAAATGCGTGTAAATTTAAAATGCAACTGTTCTGGAAATGAATGGTGCGTTTAGTTCCGCCTTGTGGTCAGGTCGCATTTTCTGATTTTAGGCTATTGCATTTCTGTACTTATTTTGCTGCACAGTAGGTTAACTGCATGCCATGCCATGATCATCAGCTGATAACAGGTGACATGCACTTGTATGGAACATCTACTTTCAGTTGATAATAAATTCATAATCACCGATTATATTGACCTGCATCTTTTTCATCAAGGGATTATTTAAGAGTAAATACGTTATTATATATTTAGTTTAATTAGTTTAAGAATATGTTGTTACTGTGAGTGATTGACTTAAGTTAAGACACGTAGTAATCAAGAAAATAGAGCTGGGTCTTGTTTTTGTAGCGAATAAACGTTGGAGATTATTTGACTCAGTAGAAAAAGCGATTTGGGTTTAAAGCTGTTTCTCGCTTTTGATTTCAGGGCCTCTTTGTCCGGCCACGTAGAAATAATTGAACATCTCATCAATAAGGTGACGTGGAAAAAATATGAAAGGCCAGTTTTATTTAACTTTTAGTAGACTAGACTTCTAAATCAACCACTTTATCTTCATGAACAATCAAATATCAGATTTCTTGAGTGCATCTTTTAGATACACGATATTTGTGCATTCTTCACTGTCCTGCTATGCCTCATAAAAGAAGCTCTCTCGCAAATGAAAGGGCCAGGGGGGAATGGTTTTCTGTATAGTCAATAAAAGAAGATACTCTCCTCCCTCCCGAACCACCAAACTGTTGTTATTCCTTCAACATCTGAGCCATTTCATGTAACCTGGCTTTCCTTATTTACTTTATTAGGGAGCAGCCATCTGCCCGTTACCAGACTCCACGGCACCATCGCCGTTGATGTGTGCCGTCAAAAGAGGACATCACAAAGCCGCCGTGTTCCTGATCAAACGCGGCTCGCCGATAGATCTGAGAGACGCCCACCAAAGAACCTGCCTTCATGTCGCTGCTTACAGTGCCAATGTAGAAACTGTTGACATCATCCTTGAGGTTTGTCATGGCTGCAAGTGCGCATGCGTAGACCTTCTTATCTCAGTCGTGCGTAGAATATACTTACCTATGGAGAAAGAGTTCAGGTTCCTTGTGTTTCACAGAATAATGTAACTTCCATAATAATAGCACCACAAATTAGAAACAGCTAATTAACCAAAGCTTAAAACAGATTCGCCAATGAATCTATACTTCATTAGACCAAAGCGTAATGAGAAAGCAAACAAAATATGAATGTAGCTACGGGCAAGCCATAATAAAAGCAGGAAAACGCAGAGTGCCACGAACAGCATAAAAATTAGATCACTTGACCTGGAACATTCCTTCTTGTACTGGCTTGATGAATCATCCGTCTTCTAAAATGTGCCCCTTGGGGGGAGGCAAGAGAATTATCTCTAAGTTGGTTGCATTACTAACAAATTCACGATGATAAAAACTGATGAACCTCACAACAAGATATATCGTAAGGTAGCTTCTAGGTAAAACTAAAATTCCAAGTCACTAGTGGCAGTCTGAAATCTATTACATTTGTAGGACGGATCGGAGAGTTCAGAATGTCTCGAAGGAGTATAGAACATGAGGAATATCATTTTTCGATCTTTCGAATAAACTTCTTGATTCCAATGACTCCCGTTTCTAAAACAGATAAAACCGGTGAAGAAAAGGAAAACTTGTACTTCAGTAGCATAGTTATATTCCTGAAATCAGAAGGTAGATTTCGGGGCAGATTTCTAAGAAATTTTACCCATGAAAAGTATCAACTAGACCATAATTCCTCGGTTTTGCAGAACGGCGGTATGTGTTTGATAGACAGCTTGGACAGAGACAATAGGACACCATTACACTACGCTGCTGCTAAAGGAAGCCTTGAGGTGGGGGGAGAAAGATATTAGTTTAATAAAGTTACATGCAGTAGGACCTTCCTTCACGGTCACCTCCTTATGTTGGTCGTTTTCCAAAAAATGCAAATACTTGTTTGTAACCCATGGGCTGAGACCCCACGGAACCGGCAAGTCTCTCTCCTAAGTGACCTTGCCCATTATCTGGGCTGTTGTCAGTGACCTCGTGGACTTGAGATTTCAGGAGATCGCAAGAGAACGGTTCAACTACAGAGTATAAGTACAATATCTCCTTGTCTCTTTTCTCGTTCTTTTGTAGTGATATTTTATAGAAAATTTTTCCTAGTGCCTTCAGCACGATTTTTGTTTGTATTTTCCTATCAGAGCAATCTTTTTTTTCAGATTCTTCAGAAGTTACTTAGTGCAGGGGCAAAGATAGATATAAAAGATGACGAAGAAAAGATTCCATTACACATGGCTACCGAGTAAGTAGCAAATGTTATTATTAAGAGAACTTGGAACTGAGCTAACGTGAGATCTTTCGTACTTGCTTAAATGTTATTGGTTTTTCGTTGGTTGTTTTGTTATGTTTGTTATTTGTTTTCAAGTAAATAAGCGGCTGAGCAGGCTGTGGCTAAGAAATTTTTTAGTGCAGTCCCTGAAAAGAGTACTGCATGCATTGACTGTCAGTCGCAATATTGGTTTAAAATGGTCTTGCTTGCAGAAAGGGAGGGAAGAGAAGTAGGTAATGACCGAGATCCGTAAAGGCGCTCTGTGAAGGTTCTATATGCCTCAAGGCCCAAAGTAGATAAACAACTGGTGAGATAATCGGTATCGGCGTTTTATTTTAGGAGCGGCAGCCTGGCTTGCGTGAAAGTGTTATTACAAGCCGATCCAAAGACTCTTAGTAGCACGGAATACCGCCTCAGAGCTCCATTACATTATGCAGCGTACGAGGGTCACTTTGAACTGGCAAAGTTCTTGCTCGATAAGGGAGCTAACCCGGATCAGAGGTAAGACGGGTTAGATTCAGTACAAACCGTTGGCGCGTCTTGAGATGCTTAGCCTATATTTTTCATGTAAATCGTTTTCAATCCGTCTCAATCTTGTCAGTCCTAAGCTTTTCATTCGAGTAACCTTTGTTAAGGAAAGTATTCAACTTTTATAAAAAAAATAACATTTTCATTTCAGGGACGAAAATCATCTGACTCCGCTCTTGATAGCGACAAGATTAAATCATTACAATATAGTAGTTCTCCTCTTGGATTACGGCGCAAAACTTAGTGCACATTCCAAAAATCGGGTAAGATAACTTTTTTACCAATTCTTGATTATGAATACTAAAAAATAAATCCCGTGCACACACACAAGCTCTGATAAAACAGGAAATTTAATTAAATTGATGCGCCAACCTTTCCTTTTTAAAAACGTTATGCAATTGCGGTTATATGATAAGCTCAATCCTTCATGCATTTTGATTGACTCTGACTTATGATCGACAGGAAGACAGACGCACAGATGACGCCACCATTAACAAAATTTTGCTTTTTTATCATATGAAAAAAAAAATGGAATCCATGTTGCCGTGGGTCTGTACAGCAAAAGATCACAGAAGAAGTCAAAACGTGGTAAGAACATCAGTGACACACTTGGCTGCGGCTTGTGTGCTACTTTTTTGTTCCGACCACATTTTGACTATAGACATTTTTTACTGGACAGACGCACAGCAACATAGCATCCATTTGTTAAATTGTCAAATGATTGAAATGATTGTCCTATTTCACAATGCAATTAGGCAAATATGTTCCATTATAGTTCCCGATTTTTATGGATCTTTTGCAATTAGACAACACCCATTGACCTGGCAGCATATTTTGGCAATGCCCGCATAGTTCGATTGTTGCTGAACCGTGGAGCTGACGTAAAGAATAAGTCCTCGTTTGGCAAAGGATGTTTGGACTCTGCTATTAAAGGAAACCGGCCAGAAACCTGCATGGAAATAGTCAAGCACAAACGGTGAGGAAAGACTGCAGTTGTATCATCTGTGGCATTGTATCTTCCATCCTTGAATTCCTGAGTTAAAACGCAATCCTGAAGATTTATTTGTGATTAACGCGCACGCCTTTTGCAATTGGCGCCTTCCTGATGGTCAAAGCTCATCGGACATTATGTATCCACAAATAGATATAAAAACCAAAAAGCTGTTTTCCTCTGGCCTGGCTCGCGTGCATGCAAACCAAGTGGACACCTAAAACAGTTCTATATTTCTGTTGAGCTTAGCGGCTCAAAATAAAGTATGTCCATATACTGTTACCTCTGCTCCCTTGTTCCCCTTTTCACTACCAATATTGAGTATCTTTCCTAATGGCTTAATTTTGTAAAAAATTTAAAGAGCGATCACAAGCTCTTGGAGTATCTTTCGAACTCTCCTATTGAAGGTAGAGAAAGGACAGAACGTGAGACCAGCCATCCTCGTCGATTTTCAGTACTGATTTTCTTCAGTTCAGAACAAAGAACACTTATCAAAGTGCAACAGTATAGTAAGATAGTACGCCACTCGAGTTACTGATATTTTGATTTTATTCTGTTTAATCAGCTGGAAAGAATGTCTTGAAGTCAAGGACGACGAAGGATTTTGTATGATGAAACATCTCATCGAAAAATTTCCCGAAGTAGCCAAGGTACTGAACTGCATGATTTACGTGTTAATACTAAATAAATCTTTTAGCGTTAACCTTTCAGTGGACTGTCAGTTTTGAACTTTAAGGAGGATCAAGACCGAGGATACAGTGCAAGTCATCACGGATTTGCAATTCTAAAATGCATTTTAGTAAAGAAAGATCGCAAATGAACAGACATTTTCGAAAAGGGACATGATCCATATCAAATATGTTCTATACGGTCTCTGAGGTACTGCTAAAGCCATACACCACAAGTAATAAATCATTAGCAAGATACATCTCTGCCGTTTACGAAAAAAAGATACATTCATCCCTCTTGAAACTAGCTTCTACGTGTAAACGGCTTTTGAATTCTGAAACTTACGGTATTTTTTTGGGATGTAATCAAATTATTCCCAAATGATTTTATTTAACAAGATTCTTCTCGCAGAGAAATGTACATTTTTTTCTTGCATCCCTCAGCTGGTAATGGACAAATGCATCGAGACTTCTGATCACATGAAAACAGATGTGGAATATTCGGTAAGCTTTGTGTCAATTCAAGAAGTTTCTAAGTGATCTTTAAGGTTTATTTTTTTTGTTGGTCTCAGGAACCACCCTTTGTCTACTTTTGTATTGAAATTGGCTACGATTATAAAATTTTCCTTCAAAAGATCAACTAGTAAACAGCCAAATTGTTCATGAAATGCCACGGTAATATCTTCTCGTCAATTCTAATTGAGGTAAAAACCCGGGGTATTATTGGGTGATCTATAACGAGATGAACGGGTCTTATGAAATAATTTTAAAAGATGTGCATATCTTGTAAATGGCAGGTAATTTTCTTCTTTCCTGTAGAGTCGATTTAATTGTTTTAAGTGTGATCACTGATTTTGCCCATTTTCTTTGCAAGCGGGAACGTGGTTTTACATGTGTCAGTTATGTCTACTCTAGCTTTGATATGACTTGTCAGACAAACTGAAAGTCTCTGTAAGTTCTGTATGACCCATTTGTCCGCCCACGATCTCCTTCACTGTCCCTCATAAGCCTCACAGTGCTCCTTGTTTTGTCGTAAATAGTACATGGGATTATTCCTGATAATTTACAGAACAAATGTGAATGTTAATGAAAAAGTTTAGAGTATCTATGTGATCATTTCGCAAATTCCCATCTTGACATTATCCTTTGTTTCTTTTTTCTCTTCTTTTAGAAATCATTCAATTTTGTTTTTCTTGATCCTATTCCTGGAGAACAAACTAATACAGAAGGAGAGCGGTACTTTGGTCCTAAGGTGTGTATATCGTGTATCAAATGCTCTGGGCATTGACAGTTGACTACTTATCTTAAATGACAAATTAGCTTTGCGAAGAATAACAGGATCGTACCAACTGAATAAAGGGATCACTTGTTTTTAATTTACAATGTTTGTTTGTTGCAGCTCATGTTAAAACATGGTCACCGTGATCTCATTCTTCATCCTTTGACTCGAGAACTCATGAAAGCGAAAAGGTATGAGCAATGGTAGCCTCTCCTGCACTGCTTAACAGTACGTAACAAATGCACGACCTCGGGAAATTCTCAAAGTTACAACGAGCGGTATACGACGGTGCTTCTATGAAAAGGGGGTTTCTAGAGAGAGAAAAGTCTATAAAGATACCCTGGTGCTGCGTCGCTGGGAGAGCATAACAGGGTAGTTTAGTATTATCAACTGATCTGATAACGTAAATTGGCCACTGTAAAGAGTTTCAAAGCTGACGTTTCGAGCGCTAGCCCTTCTTTCGCTCTGACAAGGGCTAACGCTCAAAACGTCATCTACGGTGTCCAATTTACATTATCAACTAAGTTGATTAAACCAAATTACCCTCTCTATGAAAATGTTGCCTTACTGATGAAAAACCTTTGGTACGAGGCATCTTAACTCATCCCTTTGATCCCCAGAAGTGACTAGCAACTAATTTCTCCTTACAATATCACCCCTAAATCATACATTAATGTTATGATAATAAACAAAATCTTCACCAACTAGAGAAGCTCTTGATTGTCAAACAAATTCTCCTTAACAGCACCTTAGAAAATGTAGGGAGAAGAGTATGGAGAATATACATACTGATGTTGGCTTATACCTCCACTTTCTGGAAGGCTTTATGATCAAAAATGGAGGTCTTTTTTTTTTTTTGTCTTAACCTCAAAACACTTCCCTCGTTTGAAAGAACTTTAAACGAAACCTTTTCATCGTTTTGTGGGCAAAATGGGGAAAACCATTCGCGGAATATCTCTGGATGTTACCCAGTCATAGCGTATTCGGTTACGTGAAGAGTTTAAGCCAATCGTGTGTAAGCATGAATCGATATCTGATGAAATCAACTGACGTCATTTGATGACCAGTTTGTTTCGTATTTTATAGGTTGTCTTGGAGATTGAAGTACTTTTACTTGGCAGCCTTCATATACACATCATTCACTTTGATCCTGACGTTCCTTCTGCTGTGTCTCAATTCACAGTCCATTGACAGGCAACACAACTCCACTTCTGAATTCTCTAGGGTACGTTGTCTCTTAGTCTTGATACGATATTGTTTTGGTGTATTTTTTATGACAATGAGAATGGCTGAGAGACTAAGTGAGCGAATGACTGACTGATTGACCGATTGACCGTCTGAATACATTGTCGAGTGAACGAATGAATGAATGATCGATTGACACCTTATTGGACAATAAACATGATGAGTGTTTCAGCAGTGAGTTACGATATTCATACCGATAGCAATTGCGCAAAATATAAGATCTGGACAGAAATGAAGAACCCTATAATGATTTTTAACTTATTTAAATAATTAACCTGTATTTGTTTTCAACTTCTCTTCCCTTGAACCTTGCCAATTAATTTAAATTCCTATTCACAATCTAACCTAAAAACAATTTTAAAGATGTACACTACTGACATGTAGTTCATGGTGTACTGTAATGGTGTTCCCATTATTTAAATCACATCCTCTTCGCTTGGACTTATTTATCTTGCTGACTGTGACGTTACACTCATTATTTCTGTCAGGAATTCTGTCCCAGTTATGGTTTTCCAGTCTCGAGAATGGTGACGTCAGTAATTTCAGGCGTCTCGTTGCTGAGTCATATTTACAGAATATATGTCGAGGTATTGTTTGTTAGTATGGTCAACGTTATTTTTTCCGTTTGTAATTAAGGACTGGTCCCCCCTCACGATAAAATCTACCTGATCTCTCGGCTTTGTGATATTCATATGATTCCCCCGTGGCTGGCAGTTACTTGGCAGTCAATGGTCCATAGTCCTCCATTTATACTCTGTTAGCGACGACTTATTCCCCCTCATAGAAGCTGTCTTTTTATTTCGTCCCAAGTAGCTCGCACGATAGATTTAAAACTTCTTTACACTTGTGTATTTCAGAAATGGAGTTATTGGATGGATATTTCTAATATATTAGAGTTACTAAGCTTTTCTGCCGCCATTATCACGGTTGGCAGTAGAAAAATTTGGCACAATGAACGGTTTGAATTTTCGTTTGGAATCCTTGCTGTTCTTCTGGCATATATCACAATGATGTCATATTTACAAAGGTAAAGCAAAGAATGACTTCAGATTACTCAGTCAACTTTAGCCTGAATCAGGTTCTTAGTTATTGAAGGGGAGTGAAAAAGCGGTCGTAAGGATATGACGGGGATCAAGCGACCAAAAAGAAGAAGAAGCTGTTCCGTAACAGGCGCAATCTCCCGCCCGCTCTTTCATTCTTCCCTATTGACTGAGAGTTGGTGCAGGTTAGCTTTATCTATGAACGTAGTTTCTTTAAAGATACTTTGTCATTTACTTTTTGTCTCTTGGTCTACAATAATCCAAGATGTTCTTAACTTTCACTTTTGTTAATCACTTGGTTGATTGTTTCTGTTGCTATTTCTAAAATGCAAGCTCTTTCACTAAGGCTTTTTAATCTTCTTCGCACGTTAAAAACATTACAACAGGTTCGAATGTGAATTACTGAAATTCCTCGCCATCTCGTCTTTACCCTTTTCACTTTTATCTCTATCTGTAGTTCGTTTAAAGCTGGTATCTACGTCACAATGATGTTCGAAGTGCTAAGGACTCTTCTGATGGTAAATTAGTACTACTCTGTAATTTGAAACGTAACGTATAAATTTTCATAGCAATAAAGGAAACAAGACCAACAGAAATGGCTCTTACCTTTCCTCCTTCTTCAACAGTAGTACCTGTGTTTGGGTGTAGACTGTTCCCTTGATAAGGAATTTGATATTAAAATGGAGCAATTTTCAATTGAGGGTCAAAAGTAGTCCGATATTGCGATAGTTTTGCCCTATAATTGCCCACTCTCTCCTCCAACCAAACGCAAAACCAAAACCAATCGCAAAAGGAAGGTTCAAGGGAACTTGCGATGAACTGGGGTGTCATTCAGAGCTAAGAAGATAAAGTTAAATTGAAGACCGTTGATACTGCGAAGACGGGAGATAAAGAAAATCGAGAAAAGTTTTGGCAGTTGTGCAATTTAGTATCACATTCAAATTGAACCTAATGCGGATGTGAACGTATCCCACTAGTGGTGGAATATCGTCGTGAAATATTCTCGTGAAACATAAGCTTCGAATTCTCATCACGGTCACAAATATTTTCAGTTTATTTACTGTATAATATTCACACAGGTCTGTGCTGTGTTCTCTATTCTCCTATTTGGATTTGCCTTGGTCTTCCATGTGCTGCTATCAAAGGAAGCAAACGTAAGCTGACTTCTTGATAATCAAAACTTAGTTTAATTTCCTTACGGAAAATTAAGACTTATTCATATTTCCTGCATTCGTTTTAACCCTATCGTTGTTACGTAGGACTTCATATTGGCTGTTAATTTTATCATCACCTGGAACATAGCATATGTCAATCATGCTCTATGATGGTGAATCGCGCTGTTACACGGAGTCTGTCATTAACCTCACATTGACTCACCACCTATTGCGAATGCGTTCTCAGTAAGAAGCGAGAGCATTACCAACAGAAAATTATTGCGCTGTTCATCAACAGAACTTAACATTGCTATATTTAACACAATTTTTCTGAGACTTTTCTCTGCTCTCAGGCCTCAAGAAATGGTATTAACCTTTCCTCGAATGGCGAGGTAAGAAATCATATATCTACAAAATGTTCGCTTCAAGTTATGTAGTACGATTTCCACTGAGAGTGATGCAGATCTCACATCATGAATCCTGTTCTGCAAGCTATCTCTGATTTTCCAAAACTCCTATTATTTTCACCTTCTCGTCCAGAAGTGACAGACAACGTGCTAAAGATTGTGCCTAAGAATTCCTTCAATGCACACTATTTCTTCTTTGGTCTGAGTCTGGTGGTTTTCAGTATAGTTCTGCCAAGCCAAGTTAATTGAACTAAACATAATCTGGGGCCAAAAAACTAAAAAAAACGTTGTGTCAATAACAGAAAGGGAGAGCTGAAAAAACTTTTTGGTGCAGTGGGTTTGTGATAGGATCGTGGTTTAAGAGATGAGATAAGATTCTTAGTTTTCAGTATCACTCAACAGTATTATAAAGAGACATCATATTTGCTTCCTAACTTTTGGGCCTGATTTTCTCTGCATTACCGTAGTGTGCGTTAATGAATACATTGAAAAAGAGCAACATGATAATAACTACTTTTACAGTTATCGTAATACTCACAATAAAGATGAAAAAACTGCAGTAATTTATCATTATTAATATTAATATCATCAAAATATTATTACGATTAGTTATACGGCATAAAATGTCCGTTTTACAAATTTATACATTCTAGAATTTCACTTCGCGTTGAATAACAGAGCTTCGAGCTCGGGTTTCACGAAACACGAAGAGCCGATGAAAGAAAATTGCTTTGGTGGAGAGGACTGTTAGTGCAGTTTAGTTGCGGTTTCGACAAGAATAAGACTGAGACAGCTCAGCTTATAGTAATTCATTTGAACACACTCACTATCCTTATTAAATAGCAATCGTAGTCACCTGTAAAGGAGTGATAAGTTATTTTATCTTCTTTAGGATCCCTTTGGTCGTTTAGATCTGGCGATGTTGAAGGTGTTGGATATGATGGTTGGGGAGCTGGAATACAGTAACTTTTTTGTTGACAATACGCTGTATCTTCCCGATCTGACGAGATTTATTTTTGCCGCATTTTGTTGTTTGGTGCCAATAGTTTTCATGAACCTGTTGGTATGTCTCAAACTATTATTGAGCATTACGTCAAGAATTTGATCGATCATCAATTTTTTGTTAGTATACTGAAATATTTGGTTCCGCGTAAATGCAGCAAATAGGGAATTCTCTTAAACTTTAATCCAATCATGGTCAAAAAATGTATAGGCGAGTCAGTTCTTTGGCAGTTTGACATTTTAAAATTTTTCCAGTCACAAATCTGTACGCTAACTGTTCTCGATCAACGATGGCGATTTATTTCCTTCCTAGCTTTCAGTCCAGGGGCGTTACATCCGGCGAAATAAAATAAAATAATATAAAATTTTCTGAATTCAATACTTGTGCCCTGAAAGCGACTGAACTTCTAATGATATTTTGCTCTAAGGCTCTTCGAACTTCTATCAAATTAAAGTCTCTCCCACAATTTCTACTTAGGGTAAAATTTAATGATATTTTTGCTTAAATCAGATTTACGATACAAGCACAAAAGTATAGTCATTTGACTTTCGAAAAATATCCCCTTGCTTATCAGATTGGCTTGGCTGTCGGTGACATTGAATCCATCCAGAAAAATGCTGAATTGAAACTTTTGGCCATTCAGGTAAGATAACGTGCACAAAGTGCCTCGCTAGCACTTGAAAGTATCACATGGTTGGGTATTGGGGAGTTCGCAGATGTATATCTATATTTGGCATATCGTAGCACGCTTTGGTGGTAGAGATGAGGGGTTGATTAACAAACAGAGAAGCCTTGACTGCGCTCTGTGGAAACCTTCAAAATTCGGACTGTCCATTTCGTTTTCTCTTTGAGGATTTTCGTCTCTGCTCACGTTATACTGACATCTATTATGTTTCTGTTGCTACTTGCCGGCTCGCTTGTTCCGAAATTTCACTTCCAATAAAAGGTAAAAAGCTAGAGAAAAGTCTGGAAATGGTTGAACATAGCACAAATTTGCAGACGGCACGAAAGTTTCTGCTCAGTTCGGTGTTTTGTACTCTGATAGAGCACGCTCAGTTTCAACCAATGACAGCGCGCGTTATACCCGAACTTTATCGTAACTAATTATATATATTAATAAGAAAGCTGACAACAACCCGCAAAGATTAAAACAGGGGTTGTTGCTGGAGCTAAAGTTTTAATTCCCTGACCGGGTAAATCTTTAATTAATTTTTTTTTCACTCACAATAAGCGCAAAAAACCAATGTATGGAACGATCCTTTTGGCCTTTAGTCCAACACTATTGGAATGCCACTGCTAATTTTGCACAGCGAGCTAAAAAAAAACGAAAAAAAGAACTGTTTTAAAGAAATATGTCGAGTTTCACAGCCTTTTATTAATTGCACTTTATCAACTGTACACAGTGACACTTCCGAGGGTTTTCACCGCATTGGGTATGATTCACATAATCTTGAAATTAGAAATCTGTAACCTGCCGTACTTATGAAATGTTTTGGGATTGTATTACAGAAAGGCAAATGTGTACAGATGTCTCGGATAAATATCAGTATCGGGGCAACTGCCCACCTACCCCTCCCCTAGCCCAGCAACAATCAATTGATAACAAGTTAGGGTTAATGTTGGGTTAATGTTGAGTTAGGGGAGGGGTAGGTAGGTAGTTGCCCAGATACTGGTCACTAGTCCAGTGGTCTGTGCACTGGGCTCCGAGTCGGACGACCCGGGTTCTAGTCCTAGCCGGGGCAAGGCGTTGTCCCCTTGAGACGTGCGGAAAAAAAAATGCGAGCTCCGCTTTTAGGCTTGACTAAATCTTTATATTATTACATAAAAGAGAGATATCATTAATTGTATTAAATTTCTACTTTATTTTTTTCTTAGATTGAGGACGTTTTTACATTTGAACGACGCCTTCCAAAATGTCTTCTTCGCCGCTTTCACAAGTCGAGCATCACAAAATATCCAAACAAAAAGAGACATTTCTGGAGTACAAGCCTAATGGTAAACTACTAGCCAGTCCTAGTTATTATTGATGCAGCCCGCAGTAAGATGCGAGTCGATTCAGGAGAGGTATCTCGGGGATCTGGCGCTAATTATCGGTGCGAGACCCCTTGCTGACCTCTCGCTGGCCCCATACTCTCCCGCGGGCGAGGAAACACTCG